AAGTGGAGGAGTTTAAGTATCTGGATGTCTTGTTCATGAGTGATGGTAGGACGGAGCAGGAGATGGATAGACAGATTGAGGCCTTGTCCTCAGTAATGAGGGCGTTGCTTTGGTCAGTCGTGGTGAAGAAAGAGCTGAATCGAAAGGCAAAGCTCAGGATTTACTGCTCTGTCTTTGTTCCAACCCTCACCTGTGGTCATGAGGTGTGGATCATGACTGAAAGAACGAGATCCTGGATACAAGCAGCTGAAATGAGCTTCCTTCGTAGGGTGGGCCGTGCTCAGCCTTAGAGATAGGTTGAGGAGCTCCATCATCCAGGGGGATTTTGATGTAGAGCCGCTGCTCCTTTACATCGAAAGGAGTCATTTGAGGTGGTTCATTTGATTAGGATACCTCCTGGACGCCTCCTTTTGGAGGTGTTCTGGGCACATCCCACTGGGAGGAGGCCAGGAAGACCCAGGACTCACTGGAGGTATTATGTATCCTTTCTGGCCTGGGAACTCCTCAGGGTCCCCCAGGATGAGCTGAAAAGTGTCGCTGAAAATAGGGATGTCTGGGTTTTCTCCTGGACCTGTTGCCTCTGCGACCTGACTTTGGGTAAGAGGCAAAGATAGAGTTTTAAAGATATGACTGTTTTACACATCGCATACTTTAAACACTAACAGATTGTGTGAGATTGTGCATAATGTTATTTTATAAGGTTGGACGAGATTACTTATAAATTTTTCAACATAAGATGATCTTAGTTTAAAATACTGCTCTGAAAGACAGCAAGTGATTGACCTTCCTTTAAAGAATGCTGGTCCTTAGATGGAAAAAAAGATAAAAAAAAATTAAATTTCTCCCTTCCTAATGCTGGATTTRTGTATTGAGGATCATCCTGGGTAAACTCTACTTTAAAACACTGATGTTTTTAATGTCTGTGTAAATTAACATGAATGTCTTTTCTGCTCACCAGAACCAGTGAACATTGAAGGGAATGCTGAGTCAGCACGAGTGATTGGACTCATGCCCTGGATGGATTATGAATTTCAGGTCATTGCCAGCAACATCCTGGGCAGTGGAGAGCCTAGCATACCGTCACACATCATCCGCACACAGCAAGCAGGTGAGAAACCACACATAAGACCCAGACCAAAAACAACAGAACCACTGATCATTTTTGGTTGCTTAACGTCTTTTGGAATACAAACATTCCTGCTTCTTCTGTCCYGTGTGAAGTTAAAAGCCTTTTTTACAGACTCCATCATGAACAAAATGTCAACAATATTTTCACAAACGTCCATTGTGAAGAAAATTTTTGTACGTTAAAACTATTTTAAAAGGACATGGCTAAACGGTGYCACCTTCAGAAACAGCTCCCAAAATAAATGATGAATCACAGATAAACCGGATCAGCAACAAACTCTGAACCCCCCTACTTTTATTCATTTTTGTGAAATGTAGTAGTGCTCAATCAGTTTATTTCTGTAGCAAATTAAAAGCAACTCTTCTTGACCGAAGTGCTGTACAAAAGTTAAAATAAAAAAAACTTTGTTGGTCAACTAAAAATATTAAAATGCACATAAAACAAACAAAAGCATCTTTGTTCTTTTAATTTTCCATTTCCTGGATGACTGWTAATCCACAGAAACGTATGATAGGGGTGTCCCAATCCGACTTTATCAGATATCTGTCCAATATCAGCCAAAAAAATGAGTGTCGGATTTTATCGGCCTGCATAAAAAAAGTCNTGTTCAGACTGTCAGGAAGCACTGCTGTTGTTTTCCTCTGTCGGTCTCTGTTTAATGGTGAATGAAATTAAGAAAGTGGCGGTACTTTATTTAGTTTGAGCAAGCGAACGTCGTGTTCACAAGATAATTAATCCGCCAGATAATTCAGGTGGTCTTTTCGGTGAGTTTCATTCCAGGAGCTGCGAGGCTCACTTTCAAGCTACGTTCAGACTGAACTCTGTTTACCAAACCAGTGGCTACTGACATCATTACGCTCTTGCGCGATGCTGAGTTCAGGACAAGCATAGAAAATCTCCCACTCTTWAGCCAATATGGTCACAATGATGTGTTTAGGTACCAAAACTTGGTACCGTTTGATGTTACGTGAATATGTACTTGGTAGTTCAGACAGAATTCGGTCRGTACTTATAAAAGTGTTGAAGTCAGTACCCATCCCTAAAGTCAAGCTTGTTCTGTGCAGGTTGGACTCCGCCAGGGCTGTCCCTTGTCTCCGATCCTGTTTGTAGTGTTTATGGACAAGATCCCAATGTGCAGTTGTGGAGAGGTGTGTCTCTGGTTTTGGAACACAGGGTCTCATCTCTGCTGTACGCAGATGATGTGGTTTTGTTGGTGTCTTCGAACCAAGACCTTCAGCGTACACTGGGGCAGTTTACAGCCAAGTGTGAAGCAGCTGGGATGAAAGTCAGTTCCTCTAAGTCTGAGGCCATGGTTCTCAAATGGAAAAGGGTGGAATGCTCCCTCCGGGTCGGGGGAGAGTCTCTGCCTMAAGTGGAGGAGTTTAAGTATCTGGATGTCTTGTTCATGAGTGATGGTAGGACGGAGCAGGAGATGGATAGACAGATTGAGGCCTTGTCCTCAGTAATGAGGGCGTTGCTTTGGTCAGTCGTGGTGAAGAAAGAGCTGAATC